GCTTGTCTCCACCTGTAAAATGGGGGTAAAAGCACCTGCCTCTCGGGACGGTGCTGAGGGCCCCAGCAGTGCAGGAGAGCTCAAACCAAGACTTCTGAACCTGCCCCTCGAGGCATCATTTATATATCCCCTGTAATTCACCCATTTCAAACATGCAACTCACTGACTTTGTAGTAAAGTTACCAAGTTGTGCAGACATCAGTACAAATCAGATCTAGAACATTCCATCACCCTAGGGGGTCCCTCTGCACATTTATAGTTCCAAACTCAAGCCCTAGGCAAGTTCTATAATCTACTTTCTGTCTCCATGGATTCGCTCATTCTGGACATTTAGGGTAAATGAAACTAAACAACGTGTGGTCTTTTGTGTCTGGCCTCCCTTGGCATAATGTCTTTGAGGTCCATCGTTTTGCTGCATGCATCAGTACCTCGGGGTTGCTTATTGCCAAACAGCATTCCGTTGTGTGGAGAAACCACGCTTTGCCTGTCCCTTTACCAGGTGGGGGACATTGGGTTGTTTCCAATTGGCGGTTATTATGAACCCTAACCTAAGAACATTTGTGTGCAAATCTTTGTGTGGATAAATGGTTTTGTTTCCCTTGGGTGGGTGCCTAAGGGTAGAATTGTTGAGGCATGTGGTAAATGTATGTTTAACTTTTTAAGAAACTGTTCAACTGTTTTCCAAAATGGCTGCACCATTGTCCATTCCCTTGAGCAGCATGTGGAAGCTCCTGGTCCTCCAGTTCTCACCAACACTTGTTAATGTTTGTCTGGCTGTGAGCCGCATCTCCTTGTGGTTTTAATCTGACTTTCCTAATGACTCACGGCATTGAGCATCTTTTCATGTGCCTATTAGCTGTTTGTATATCTTCTTAGGTGAAATGTTTATTCAAATCTTTTACATATTTTTTTGATTCAATAGATTGTCTTATTGAAGTACTAGACTTCTTTACATGTTTGAATGCAAGTCCTGTATCAGATAACTATGTTGCAAGTATTTTCTCTCCGTTTGTTGCTTGTCTTTTCATTTTCTTAATGATGTCTTCTGAAGCACTGAAGTTTTTAATTTTTATGAAGTCCAATTTATGTTTTTTTTCTTTTATGGATTACACTTTTTGCGTCATGTCTGTGACATCCTTGCAGTTATAACTCAAGGTCCTGAAGAATTTCTCCTGTGTTATCTTCTAAAAGGTTTATTTTAGCCCTTACATTTAAGTCTGTGATCCATTTTGAATAAATTTTTGTACATAGTGTGAGGCCAAGGCCTAAGTTCATCTTTTTGCAAATGGATATCTAAATTGTTGTCACACCATTTGTTGAAAAGACTGTTCTTTCCCCAGTATAGTATTGAAATCAGGAAGTGAAAGTACTCCACCTTTGTTCTTTTTCAAAATTCCTTTGGCCATTCTAGGTCTTTTGCAATTCTGTATAAATTTTAGGATCCTCTTGTCAATTTCTGCAAACAAGCCTACTGATCTTTTTTTTTTTATTTTTACAATATTGCCTTCTTTCTTTTTAGTTTAATAAAGTATCAAACAATAATATTAAGTCTCCTGATCCATGAGATGAGATCTCTTCATTTATTTATATCTTTAATTTCCCTTGGCAGTGTTTTGTAATTTTCAGGGTATAAGTCTTATACTTCTTTTGTTAAATTTATTCCTGAATATTTTATTTTTTGATGAATCTGCCTTTTGGAAGTAAGTATCAGGGTGACTGGTCTCGGGTGAGTACACCCACTCACTTCCACTTTCGTGCTGGGGCAGGGTAAATCCAACATAGTATCGACTTGATTGTTTTTATAAAATAGCAGACAAATGCCTGTATCTATGCATACAATTTAAAGTGAATACCTGTGTACCTTGAATACCTCTGTACTAGTAACTTGTTGGATGGGATCCCCCTCCCTTACCTCCTGAATTTTTTGTCATTCAGTCCTTGGCTTTGCTTTATAGTTTTACCATATATATATTTAACCATAAACAGCATAATGTTTACATTCACCTGTTTTAACCTTTATATAAATGTAAATCATAGTGAAGATATTTTTCTGTGACTTATTCTTTTTCTCATTATGTTTCTGAGAGTCATCTGTTTTGAAGCCTGGGTTGTATTTCATTCAGTGGTATTCCATGTGTGTGAGCTTATGAGAGTTCATTTCTCCAGCTGTTACTGGTTGCTGGAGTTATCACTGGGGTTTTTACTGTTAAAGTGATGCTATGAACCCCGTCCCCGTTAGCCACGGGCTAGAGTTTTGTTAGGTGTACTAGCCAGGTAGAATTGCCGGGTTGGCTGGTCGTGTGTGCCTTAACCCGATGGGTGAGGTCAAGGTGCTCTCCATAGTGGCCTGCCCATCACACTGTACTTCCACCGTAGCTTTACTATTGCTGCTTAAACACATTACCACCAACTTAGAGGCATAAAAGAGCACAAATTTATTATCATACAGTTTTGGAAGTGAGGAATTGGAAATGGTTTTCACTGGGTTAAATTAGGGTGTCGACAGGCCTACGTTCCTTGGTGGCTTTAGAGGAGGTTCCATTTTCTTGGCTTTTCCAGTTTTTATTTTTTTTATATTTTTGAGACAGAGTCTCACTTTGTTGCCCAGGCTAGAGTGCCGTGGCGTCAGCCTAGCTCACAGCAACCTCAAACTCTTGGGCTCAAGCGATCCTTCTGCCTCAGCCTCCCCAGTAGCTGGGACTACAGGCATGCGCCACCATGCCCAGCTAATTTTTTCTATATATTTTTAGTTGTCCAATTAATTTCTATTTATAACAGAGACGGGGTCTCACTCTTGCTCGGGCTGGTTTCGAACTCTTGACCTTGAGCAATCAACCCACCTCAGCCTCCCAGAGTTCTAGGATTACAGGCGTGAGCCACCGCGCCTGGCTGCTTTTCCAGTTTTTTTTTTTGTTTTTGAGACAGAGTCTCACTTTGTTGCCCAGGCTAGAGTGAGTGCTGTGGCGTCAGCCTAGCTCACAGCAACCTCAAACTCCTGGGCTCAAGCAATCCTCCTGCCTCAGCCTCCCAAGTAGCTGGGACTACAGGCATGTGCCACCATGCCCAGCTAATTTTTTCTATATATATTAGCTGGCCAATTAATTTCTTTCTATTTTTAGTAGAGATGGGGTCTCACTCTTGCTCAGGCTGGTTTCGAACTCCTGACCTTGAGCAATCTGCCCGCCTCGGCCTCCCAGAGTGCTAGGATTACAGGCGTGAGCCACTGTGCCCGGCCTGCTTTTCCAGTTTTAAAGGCTGCCAGCATTCCTTGGCTCATGGCTGCTTCACCCCCCCTCAGAGCCAGCAAGGGTCAGTTGAGTATTTCTTGCATTGCAGCCCTCGGTCCCTGTCCTGCCTCCCTGTCCGCATGTACAAACCTTTGCGATTACATCAGGCCCGCTGCAATAATCCAGGAAAGCCTCCCTATTTTAAGGCAAGCTGATGAGCAACCTTAAGTCTGTCTGCTATCTTAATTCCCCTGTGGCGTCTTCAGGTTTCGGGGATCAGGATGTGGACATCTTGGGGGTGGCTGTTATACTGCCTACCACAGCTGGTGTTTGAAGGTCCTCATTGTTCCACAGAAAAAGGGGACTTAAACATTTGAACTGTGTGTGTGTGTGTGTGTGTGTGTGTGTGTGTGTGTGTAAAATATTTAGTGACTGTGAAAATGAGCTATGTTTAGACTTTCGCCCTTTTGCTCTCTCTCCCTGGGCCTCTTTAATTTCAGAGGTTTCTACTGTCCCTGTATGAAGCGGTATCAAGTTCTGGAGTCAGAATGCGTGGGCTCTTTTGCCATGAGCTGTGTGTGACTTGGGCAGGTCACCTTACCTCCCGAAACTTCTTTTTCCTCATCTATAAAATGGGGACTGTTACCTAGACCACATAGGGTTGCTATGAGAATTACACGAGGTAATGCATACAGGGTCTTAGCATAGTGCTGGACTAATAGAAGAAAATCAGTAAATGCATTGGTTTTCACATCTATTCAGTCATCCATTCATCTAAGAGCGCTTGTGTGCCAGGCCCTGGACCCAACCATTCAACTGTATACTGAGCACCCTTCTTTGCCATAAAATGAGTCCATTTGTTTGGGGCATCCACAGGCAAAATGCCAGGTTTAATGCCTGATGAACCTTATTTTCATTGTTGTGCTAAGTGCTGTTTAGAATGCGACGTGTACAGTTCCAGTTCCTAAAGCAGTCTTCCTTAGAGAGCTAGATAGCTGGGTTCACTCCTCTGTTTGTGCTCATTTATGTCTTTGTTCTAGGAAGACACGATTACATGTAGGAGAAAGTTAGGCAGCATTTCTCCTTTCTGTCCTCCAATGATTTCCATGTCATGAAGTGGTAGCGTGTCTCATCTGAAATAATGAGGCAAGCCTGGCATCACCTTGTATGGGCGAGGGATGGCATTAGGGACATTTTTCTTTTGTCCTTAATATTGTCTTCCTTTGTATTATCCTCATTATTATTATTTTTTCACTTAAGAATGATTTCTCATTTCAGTTCCTTAGTTGAACTTTGGAGTTTTCACTCAATTCTCTGAACAGTAACTGTGGCAGACAAAGTTACTTGAATCAGGAGAATCCTGTGTGAAACAGAGCTGGCTGCTAAATTTTAATCTGTTGGCTTATCATTGTGAGTCATTCTGTTTTTGAGACCTGAATCCCTGCTGTCAGCAGACTTTTTATGTAATCTGAAAAATGAAAATAAGTTATCTAAGGCTTTCAAAGGCCATTGTTACCTGTAAACATGGTGGTGTGCATGTGTATGTAGCCCACTAACTTCCTGATAAGAATTTGGATAATTTGGGGAGGGTGGAGGATCTTTTAAAATTGAGATGAAAAAAAATGTATGTGTTTTAAAATAACAATTTAAATGCGTGACCAGTAGGGAATGATTCACAGCAAGTCTTCCACGAGACAGAACTTGCTGCTCATTAGAACTCCAGAATTGGCTTCCTGGGCAAAATCTCAAACTTCACTAAATCCTTTCTCCCAGGCAGATGCGTGTCACGCCTACCAGATCATTCACCGAAATGGGATTCCCGACGAGCAGATCATCGTGATGATGTATGATGACATTGCCAACTCTGAAGAGTAAGTAGGGAGCTCTTTGAACTTGGTGCTGAAAAACTTCAGGGTAGGGAAAAAAAGCAAGCCATATATACACAGTCACAGAATCCTTGGAACAGCGGCCTAACGTTAGAACATAAACAGGCTCCCAGATGGACCACAGGGCACAGGGATGCCCTTGTTACGCTTTGACCGTGACTGGGCGTGCCCTGGGAACGGCAGAGACCCGGACACGGGTGCTGCTGGGAACTTTGAAAGGGCTTAAAGCGTAAGTCCCTCCTCGCCTTAGAGCACTCATTGCTGGGTTCTGCGGTGCTTGTAACCTCCGGGCAGGGACAGCACAGGAGGCCCGTATGTGGAAGGCTCTTGTTTGTAGTAGGTTAGATCCCACCACCCTTCTTCCTATACCTGTTTACTTTTATTACTTGCTGAATTTAATTTTACAAAAATTCTCTCATGCCCACTCACCTGATTTCTTGTGGAGGATCAGAGGCAGCAAGTGTGGGTGTAAACCAGTTCTGTCCTCCCAGCTCCTTTTTTTTTTGAGACAGAGTCTTGCTTTGTTGCCCAGGCTATAGTGAGTGCCGTGGCGTCAGCCTAGCTCACAGCAACCTCAAACTCCTGAGCTTAAGCAATCCTCCTGCCTCAGCTTCCCAAGTAGCTGGGACTACAGGCATGCACCACCATGCCCAGCTCATTTTTTCTATATATATATTAGCTGGCCAATTAATTTCTTTCTAATTATAGTAGAGATGGGTCTCGTTCTTGCTCAGGCTGGTTTCGAACTCCTGACCTCGAGCAATCCGCCCGCCTTGGCCTCCCAGAGTGCTAGGATTACAGGCGTGAGCCATGGCGCCCGGCCCTCCCAGCTCCTTGTCACCCTGCTGTGGTCCCTGTGAAGGACGCTGCCCTTACTGTGATCACATACACAGCTCAGACATCATCCATCTTGAGGCTTTCACACCTGAGTTTCTTGTATTAAATCGTGTTTTCTGTGCGGTTTCTTTCAGAAACTAGTTCCCTCTGAGAGAGCTTTTAATGAGATCTTGCCCCCAAGATGCCACCTGGTTTCCAGCAGGAGGCCTGGGACACTGAGGCTTTGGTCCCTGTTCTAAGCTCTTTGAGCTCAACCCCTGGCTCCTGCTGCCGAGAGCTCCTGAGCCGTGGGAGCGCCCCGATCTGCAGGCGGCTCAAGCACTGGCGCACCGGCAGCCATGCCGGCCATGGCATGTGTCTTTGGCAAACAGAGTGGTTTACTATGTGTTCACATAACAGGAGCACATTTTCGGGGAGAGATTTCAGAGACATGTCATACTTTGCATTCCAAGTGTGTCCTTTAATTTTCAGCAATCCCACTCCAGGTATCGTGATCAACAGGCCCAATGGCACGGACGTCTACAAGGGCGTCCCGAAGGACTACACCGGAGAGGTGAGTGGATCTTGGGGTTGGAGCCGGCGGGTTTTGCTTTCATTTTAGTGATGATCTTTCCCTCTTTCTTGTGTTTCTAGAACCAGAACCTCCCTAGACTGTTTTCTGGTCAGCATTCCATGTGTGTCTTAGGATTTGTGCTTGAGGAGTAAATTAGTGAGAGTTTTGAAAGAAAGGAAAGGAAAAATGTCTAGAATAAGTTGCAGTCTACAGATATTTAGTTTCTAGTCTTCTCATACTTCAAGCCCGATAAGAGATTTCCCTCCATAATAACTGGGGATTTTCTTGGGATGTTACTGTAATGTACAGATTATCTGTGGTTTTAGGAAAATCAGTTTTCTCAGCAGCAGTCCTGGGCCACAGTAGCTCAGGATTTTGCTGAGATTCTTTTTCATTAATTACTATTACAGTATGTCACTTCCAGAAATTTTCATGTTCCTCCCATTCGAGACTGTATAAATTGACACATTTTTTTAAAAACACTGTAATGACTTCACTCTTGTGGTTTTTGTGGTTTTTTTTAATTTCAGAAGGACCTTTGGGAACCAATATCCCTGTAATGAAGAAATTTTTATCTGCAGTTTAGCAATTCTTTTAGTTTCATTTCATTTTTTTCTTTTAAATTGAAATATGGTTAAATAAACACACCATACATGTAAAATAAATGGTCTGATTTTTATGAAATTGTTTCTGCCTATATAGTCGTATAAGAACATGTTTAGAATCTAGATGGTGGGATTTTTGGTGATTTTTTTTTTTCCCTTTGTGCTTTTTAGTATTGCTTTTAGTATTGCTTTAGTATTGCTTCTAATGAAGAGGTGTCAATTTTATAAATTCCTCTTCTGGGACTTTGAGTGTTTTGGGGAGTCAGCCTCCTCGGCAGCAAGCTGGGAGGGCCGCCTGGTCGCTGGTGGCTCCGTCTCCTGGGCGGTGCTCTCACCCTCTGCCATTCCCCATGTCTGGTGGCACCCTCGGCCTTCTCCACGCAGCCTGTGCGATGGCCGGGAAGGAACAGCAGGCTCGTGGAGTTGCCGTCAGCCAAAACCAAGACGGTGGGGCCAAGCGCGTGGCCCAAGAGCACAGCCCTTGCTCGGGTCCTTCTCAGTTGTCGAGTGTTTGCTGTCACGCCTCGAGCCTTGGAGACGAGCGGGCGGGTGGCCTGGGTCTGCCACAGACTCAGCAGACTCTCTGGTGTGGGATGACAGCAGCCTCTGATTTGGGCTCCCAATTCTTTCTAGGATGTTACCCCCGAGAATTTCCTTGCTGTGTTGAGAGGCGACGCAAAAGCAGTAGAAGGCAAAGGGTCTGGAAAAGTCCTGAAGAGGTAACGTCTGTTTTACGGATGCCACACTTGTGCTCGTGACCTGAGCCCCAGTATAGAGAACTGAAACTGGTCTTGTTCTTTGCTCCTGGCCTGTTCTTCTGGGTGAAATTACAGAGTGGGGAGGTTTGTTCTGACTTAGACTGCACAGGGGTGAGTTCCAGTGGCTTCTCTTGGCAGCCCGTTTCTGTACCAAATTAACCCCATGACCAGGGTTCCTTATTATTAATACAGTGTTCCCTGTCACTTAAACCCGCTGTCCTTGTTTTCCACGGATTGCGGTGTGGGTATGTCCCACCACCAGTGGAGCGCGCTGAGACAGGTGTGACCCCCTGGGGGCCAGTCAGGTAGCGGGGCCCCAGCCTGCCACCAGCCCTGTGGTCTAGTCATAGGCTGGTCCCATGGGGAGAAGCACATTCACAAGTGCAGAGCAAACCTTCGTGTTGGGGGAAAGGAACCCCAGTGTCTGCCTCACTGGCTGTGGGTTAGAGACGTCTCGTCTTTATATTTCTTTAGGTGGCATTTTTACATGATGTCAGAGACTTGAGTGGCGTATTTGTTTTATGCTAGAAGTGAAACCTGGGCAGAGTTAGCTCATGGGAGTCAGTGCAGGGAGGGGCATCTGTGTAGGATGAAGTGGATTGGCTCCGAGTGAGTTATCACATCTCTGCCACCCGGAAGCAGTGCCCTCTGGGGGGAGCCCCGGTGAGGCTGGCGGGTGGGCATCCCAGACTGTGCCAGCCGAGGGGGCTGCAGGGGAGAGCTGCCCGCGCATGTCCGGCTGTGTGTCCTGGCTCCCTTACTCATTCTGGGAAGATGTAGTTGGAGAGCGTGGCCACCTGGGATGAGGCCAAATTTTCACCACTTGGTGCAGGACACCACTGTCCACACTGCGCCAGGAGACCTAGGAAAGGTCTCTCCTCCTTTCTGGCCATAATTCGGAGTTTCGAGGCTCTAGGACACACCCTGTGGTTCAGAATAACCCTGAGGGGAACAGAGGGGACAGGCAGACGTCAAGCCCTTGTGTTCCTCTTCACATCTGATTGGGCAACTGTCATCCCCAGACTTCTTGGTTTTTTGATTAGGGCAACTTTTTGCAGAAATGGAAGTAGAAACAGAAATAGAAAACTGTTGACCTCTGACCCTTTCTTGGCAGCGGCCCCCGGGATCACGTGTTTGTTTACTTCACTGATCACGGATCTACTGGAATACTGGTTTTTCCTAATGATGATGTGAGTTTTTCTTAACATTTTAAGGACAAACTTAAATAGAGAATAGAAAACAAAGCCTGTGTGTTGACGTTAAACCTGTGGTGCGTGTCTTGTAATTTGTACATGGCGGGTGGGTGTGGGGGCACGCCTGGTAGCTTGAAATCCACCCAGGGATGTCTTTTTCTGCTGGTTTTCCCTGCATTTCTGTTCACGTTGCATCAGTAGCCGCCTCAGGACTTGGATGTGTCGCATGAGACACGGGAATAGAACAGAAGCTGTGAATGTCTGGACAACGGGATGGGTGAAGAAGCACATTCTCTTCCCTTTTTAAGTGTGTGACTCAAACACTGGAGCTGCCGTCCAGCGTTCTGCTGTTCACCACAGTTGTTTCTAAGGATTGATAGAAAAGAACTTACAAGGCATCATGAGGACTTCATTAGTGGGTTACCTAGCAAAGGGTTTTTCTTGACATGTTGGTCTGAATGTTGAAATTCTTACCTTTCAGCTTCACGTAAAGAACCTGAGTGACACCATCCATTACATGTATAAGCACAAAATGTACCAGAAGGTAACGTGGGCCCTCGAGGCCGCCCAGGGGAGCTGTGTGGGGAGGGCTGAGGACGCAGAGCCCGCGGTTCCGCGCTGGCATCTGTGGGTGGGAAGGGTCCTTCTGATCGCTGGTTTCCCAGGATTAACCTTTTGGCTTTATGAGATCAGGGTCACTGGTGAGCTTGTTAAAGCAGTGCAGCTTCACCCCCAGGGTTTGACCCTGAAGGTCTGGAGGGAGGCCCGAGAATTTGCCTTTCTTTTTTTTTTGAGACAGAGTCTCACTCTGTTGCCCAGGCTAGAGTGTTGTGGCGTCAGCCTAGCTCACAACAACCTCAAACTCCTGGGCTCAAGTGATCCTCCTGCCTCAGCCTCCCGAGTAGCTGGGACTACAGGCATGTGCCACCATGCCCGGCTAATTACATATTTTTTTACCTGTCCAGCTAATTTCTTTCTATTTTTTTAGTAGAAATGGGGTCTCGCTCTTGCTCAGGCTTATCTCGAACTCTTGAGCTCAAACGATCCTCCCACCTCGGCCTCCCAGAGTGCTAGGGTTACGGGCGTCAGCCGCCACGCCCGGCCAAGAATTTGCCTTTCTGAGTTTCCACGGGACAACTGCTGCTGCCGGTCTAGGGGTCACACCTAGAGCGAGCCTTGAGGGCTCCCGTTCTAGGACTGTCCCCAGTTTTGGATAGTTGGGGAGGAAAATACCGCCCTCTCGCTCTCATTGGCCCTCTCTCACCCCGTAGCACCCAAACTGCGCAGGTCAGTGCGCACGTGACGGGAGTGCAGAAAGGTGGCCGGCCACACGGCTTTGCCTTTGAAACTACTCCCTGCCCTGGGTGCTGACACAGCTTTCCTTAGCGTCATGTGGCTGCATTTTCTCCGCGTTAGTTCAAGTAACAGCTGCCTTTCTTCTATTAGTGAAGAATAAATTTGACGCCTTCCGGTTTGCGCAACAGCAGCTTCCGTAGCCTCTTCCAGTAGTAATGTCCCCTAAAGGCAACTGCGGAAGACTCCCCAAGACTGGGCAGAGAGAGTGGGCAGAGCCCCAGTGGCATTCGCAGGAGGCCTGTGCCGGGCTGGGGTGTGAGCTCACCTGCCTCTCTGCCTCGCAGATGGTGTTCTACATCGAAGCCTGCGAGTCTGGGTCCATGATGAACCACCTGCCCGATGACATCAACGGTAGGTGGTGGGAGCGCTGGCCTCTGGGCCGGGCTGGCGAGCAGGTTGCGCAGCGTGCCATGGGTCATCCATCCTCAGAGGACCGCTGGTGTGGATCCAAGGCGTCTGCATAGGCAGGGGCCCCTGGGGACAGCCTGGTGCACAGAAGTGGGGAGATAACTTGCAGGCAGGAGCTGGGCTTCCTCTGCTACTGGAGGATTAGTGGTCAGGGAATAAAGAATCCATATGTTCTAGGCCAAAACCACATAGGCGTTAGACCAGACTCCCTTCCTTGTGATGTGTTGGTTGCTGGCTTTCTCCTCTTGAGCAGGTGACCCTCTTTCGCCCTCAGTTATCCCCATCTATAAAATGGGGGTAAGGCAGTACCTATCTGTTGGGAGAGTTAAAATTTAAATGATAACATTTGTCTAGCACAATTCTGAGCCTGTGGTAGAGAGATAGCAAGTGGTAGCTATTAAATAGGTTCAGTCCATCTTACGTGTTTCTTCAATAAATATTAACTTTCTCTGGAAACCAAATTAGGCCCATATTCTTCAAAGATTCCTGAGCTATTGAAATCTGTCCATATTCTTCCAAAATAGCATGATTTCCTGAGCATGCACGTTTGCTTACTGCCAGAAACTGGCTCCTCTTTCTTCCACATTTAATTTTAGATGAGTTATTGTAACCAAATGGACAGGGCTGGATACAGTCACATGTCCTTGCCCTCCCTGTACTGGCATAGGCAGCATGCTTCGATTGTGTCAGGGGAGAAGGAAGGATTGGAGCTTTAAGTGTAATCCAAAGCAGGGAATAAAACACAACTAAAAGGTAATTTTTAATTCCTTATAGTTTATGCAACTACTGCTGCCAACCCCAGGGAGTCATCCTACGCCTGTTACTACGATGAAGCCAGGTCCACGTACCTGGGGGACTGGTATAGCGTCAACTGGATGGAAGACTCGGACGTGGTGAGCCCTTCGGGGAGCCAGCTGTTCAGCTGTGGTGTAAATGTCAGGCCGTGATCACTGAAGGACTTAATGGTTTCATTTCTGCAGGAGGACCTGACTAAAGAGACCCTTCACAAGCAGTACCACCTGGTGAAATCCCACACCAACACCAGCCACGTCATGCAATATGGAAACAAAGTGAGTAGGGGGCCTCTCTCCTGCCTCCCTGGGGTCCCACGTGGGCTTACCTGGCATATGTATCACTCGGTGAAGAGAAACAGGATCCGGGTGTGGCATGGTTGAGGCAGGGATGGCTCTGCCGCTCACGATCACTCCCTCCCTCCCGGGACCACTGCAGGCTTTGCACTCAGATGCCTCTAGGCTTAGACTTCCTCTAGGCTCAGACTTGCAGAGTTATGAGATCGTGGGCAAGTGACTTAACCTCTCTGAATCTCTGTGCCCTCACTGGTCAGAACCCTGGTGTACGGGTGGCTAGAAGCGTGAAAGAAAGCTGTGCCTCACAAACACTAAAAACACAGGCCTCGCACAGCGAGAGCTTACCGAATCAGAGGCGCCTCCTGTGCGTTTTGTGGCATTGCCCCGCAGCACCTCACACCTTGGATTCTCGGGGGTCCTGCCTCCTTGCAAGCTGCAGTTGTCACCTTTACCCTTTGGCCATAAATTAGAGACTTTTTAGCCCTCTCCAACTATGTCCAGAAGGGACCTAGATAGTTAAATAGGTAAGTTCATTACGGCTATCTGGGCATTGTCATAGTGGGTAGCTGTTGAGGGCTTGGACCCTAAGTGAAGCCGCTGGAGCTAGCCCTTGGTGTGTGCAAATATTAATACCATGACAGACAGGCACAGGGCCTCCCTGTTGTCCTTATGCTTGAACACCATTCCCCAAGCAGCACAGCAGGACAGCTGCGATCTGTTCTTTAGGAGCAAGAATGGCCTTCTAGAAGAACTTGGGAGTCAGTAAATCCAACTGTCCTTAGCCCCTCAGCACAGAGTGTGGGCAGGGGGTCCCCTGACCTCACAGCAGTGGGACAGTCACAAGACTTGAGTCCTGAACTCAGGACACAGTGACCTGGTCAGGAGAGAGATGACTCAGAGAAGTCAGGGTCATTGACTGGCTGTGTGTGGGGCTCTGCCCTGGGCTTTCTATTCTCTTTACCGTAGCCTCAGCCTCCACCATTTCTGATGCTGGTTAGGTGGCAGATGGACCTTTTCTAACTTTGTTTTTATGGACCTTTGTGTGTGTTTTATTTTTTTGTTTGAGGACTGTTTTAGAATATTGTGGCTTGCTTTAGGAGCAGAATGCTTGCATTTTCCCCTCTGAGTGGGAGTCAGTCCGTAGTGACCTGTGCAGGCAGATCTAGCCTGGCATTCGTGCCCATTTGTTGGAGTCTGATGCCAGGCTCAGCCTCTCTGTGGCCGTAGCTCTGCCCTTCTCAGAGGACCCAGACTTCAGCTCTGACCTGGACAGATGCTTTGGACCCTCCTCTGCCGGCCCTTAGGGACAGGCAGGGGAACTTGGGCGGGTGAGCACAGTGTGGAAGAGCAGCAGCTGCTGCAAGGGGTGCCGGGCACTTTTGAAGTTGCTCCTCAGTAGATTCGGGGTGCTCAGATGTGTCTCCTGCCTACTGCTGGGGCTGGCCACGTCTTTTCCGGCTGTGAATGTGGCCCTGCAGTGGTCCCAACACCAAGAGGAGTGGACTGTGAGCCTCTGCTGGAAAGGCTGGACCCAGGGCGTGTTGGGCACATCCTCTCGTCCCACTCCGACAGCTCTCTCTGTCTCTCTCCCTCCAGTCGATCGCCGCCATGAAAGTGATGCAGTTTCAGGGTGTGAAACACAAAGCCAGTTCTCCTGTCTCCCTGCCTCCAGTCACACGTCTCGACCTCACTCCTAGCCCCGATGTGCCCCTCGAGATCATGAAAAGGAAACTGATGAGGACCAATGATCTGCAGGAGTCCCGGCAGCTTGTCAAGGAGATCCAAATGCATCTGAACGTAAGTAGTGGTAAACGGAACCGTTCCCGGGCGCTGCTCCCAGCCTTGGTCCCTGCCCCTTGTGAGCAGGTGGGAAAGGAACCCCAAGCCCCTGCTCTGTGTGAAATGGAGCAGGTGAGCGGAGCACCGACTGCCTGCGTTCTTCATTAGTGAACTAACCGTGACCTCTTTGGTAACAGGCAGCAATGGAAGGGGGCTGGTCTCCCCTGTATCCTGCCAAGAAGCCATGACACATGAATATTTCCCTCTTTTATACCTTGTTGCTTAAGGGACATTTTTATTTTACTGCTTATTGAGTCATTGGCTAATCATATTTATTTTAAAAACTCAGAGCCAAGTGCATTGGATCACACCAGTAATCCCACCTACTCAGGAGGCTGAGGCAGGAGGATCACTTAAACCCCAGGAGTTTGAGGCCAGCCTGGGCCACTTAGTGAGAACCCATCTCTTTAGATAACACTCCAATCCACAAAAATTTCTGCTGTCTCAGGAAAACATTGTCATAGCCTAAAATTCTTTCAAAAACCCTTGAGCTATGTATGATTAGTGAGTCTGTTTTCAGTAGCTCATCGGTTTGTTTGGAGCTGGAAGAATTACTTTTTAAATTGCAGCTGTGCACCCACTGGAATGCCAGGCGAAAGAGTTGCCCGCCGTTTCCCACACAGCCAGCCCTTGTCCCCATTGTCAGCACAACACCGTGGTTGATGTACTGAAATATGGCCCGGATCTTTTAGGAAGATTAAAAAATAAATCTGTAGGGCTGGGCGTGGTGGCTCACGCCTGTAATCCTAGCACTCTGGGAGGCCAAGTTGGGAGGATCACTTGAGGCCAGGAGTTCGAGCCCAGCCTGAGCAAGGGCAAGACCTCGTCTCTATTAAAAATGGAAAAAAATTGGCTGGGCATCGTGGCACATACCTGTAGTCCCAGCTACTCAGGAGGCTGAGGCAGGAGGATCGCTTGAGCCCAAGGGTTTGAGTTTGCTGTGAGCTATGATGATGCTGTTGGACTCTAGCCAGGGTGGCAGAGTGAGACTCTGACATAAATTATCTATCTATCTATCTATCTATCTATCTATCTATCTATCTATCTATCTATCTATCTATGTGGTTTGTTTAAAATGCATATATCTCATCCCAACAGTTAGTACCCCACGTGTGGCCACCTTATTAAGAAGGACATATTTTAGCTGGTGTCATACACAGTGTATCAGCAGTTCTTATACTTTATAGTCTTGGGCCTCTTTACACTCTTTGAACTCTTGATCCCAAAGAGCTGTTGTTTATGGTGGGTCATTTCTATTGATGTATACTGCATCAGAAATTAAAATGAGGTGGAGGAGCATTTTGTCCTTACCCTTTTGATAGTTCATGGAAACTGAACCAGAGTTTTTGTGTGTTTGCTTGAACAGCTGTAAATCGTATAGGATTTCTTTGGTATGTGCTGCAAATTTGAAAACTATTTCCACAGCTACATACTTAGTGGATTTAACTTACCTGATAGCTATTCCATAGTTAGATTTTTATGTAAAATAAAAGATTATTAAAGAAATTAAAAATGAGATTTAAAAATATATTTAACTTATTTACAAACAATAATAAACCCATTTTGTGTTAATGTATATTTTATGAAAAATAACCATTTTCCAAAACAAAAACCATTTGGGTGAGAAGAGTGACATTGCTTTACATTTTTGCAAATCTCTTTACGTGCAGCGTAATGGAAGACAGCTAGGTCCTTGTACCTGCTTCTGCGTTCACTCTGTTGGGCTCGGCTGTGTTGGCTGAAGCATGTGAAGAAAATCCAGCCTTGCACGGATACACGTAGTTAAGAAAGGGAAGATGTCACGGAGCCCACGAGAGCTCTTGGGGACCCCGTGGTTGTGGACCCCCACGTTGAGAACTGCTCGTGCAACACGCCGTGGGCAGTGAGAGTGGATTCAGACGGGAAGGAAGCAAACCCTGGCTGGGGTGGGGCGGGACAGAGAGCTCTCGGGTCAGGTTAGCTGAGGTGGAAGCTCTTTCCTCTTACAATGCTGTTTTTCATGATCTGGGAGGAAGACGATGCCTCCCTCTGTGCCCCACTGCCTGATGGTTCGATGGTTTCCTGAATGGGCAAAGGCTGAACACGCAGCAGCCCTCCTGGGCCAGTCCACTGTGGGGCACAAGTTCCACAGCCTCGATTCTAAAGAGCAGTCCAGGCCGGCTCCCCAGGTGTTTGGTTATAAGTGCTTCCATCGCGCCAGCAGATCCTCGAAAGGCAAGGTCTTTCTAGCTGTCACGGAGCTGTGCGCACGCGCATCTTTTCCCTTCCTCACTTACACGGTCACCGGCATCTGTTCCAGTCGGTGAGGGCTGTGTGGAGAGAAGTGTTTAAACTGCTTCTGGCCGTCGTGGGTCCAGGAGAGACGGCACGGCGAGGCACATTCTGACGGGATGTGTTTGTCCCCAGGTTAGGCAGCTCATTCAGGAGTCGGTGCGCAAGATCGTGTCCTTGCTGGCAGCGTCCGAGGCCGAGGTGGAGAGGCTTCTGTCCCAGAGGGCCCCGCTCACGGGGCACGGCTGCTACCCCGAGGCGCTGGTGCACTTCCGCACGCGCTGCTTCAACTGGCACTCCTCCACGGTGAGCCGCGCCCGGGCTGGGCCTCAGGAACCCGAAAGCCAAACTCACGTTGTCCCTTGGAAATCACATCAGATGCACTGCCCTGTAGAAGGTTCCGTCCAGGCTGAGGGTTCCCTTCAGAGAGAATGAAGGTCGTCCAAGTTCATGGACCATATATTTGGCCCCAGAACCCTCCTGTTGTCCCAGTGGGTGGGAGAGTTTACCAGAGTCATAAATGACAACTCTCATTTCTGTGTTGAAGGGTAGTTCTCCTCACACTTCTGCTGTCCCTGCAAACCCCATCCTCCCTCCTCCCTCCCACACCAGCCACTTGTTTCTCCCTTCAGGGTCTATGCTGGTCCCTCCCCAAGATTCATTGTTGAAGTCAGGCCTGGTCTGGAGTAGAAGAAAGTACTGAGTTTCTGCAGGTTGCAAAATGTCAGGGTTGGAAGGTCCCTAAATAGCCTTCTGGTCAGCACTGTGTGGTGCTTAGATCTTTGCAGGGGTCCTCAAACTTTTTAAACAGGGGGCCAGTTCACTGTCCCTCAGACCGTCTGAGAGTGCAGCGCACATTCCACACATGCGCACTGTGGGCCCGGGACGAGTCGGCTGCTAAGCAGGACAGGCAGCAGTGGCAAAAACACCTGGCAGGCCAGATAAATGTCCTCGGCGGGCCACATGTGGCCCGTGGGCCGTAGTTTGAGGACCCTTGTCTAGAGAAACTGTGGGGGACTGGCCTGCAGACCAATCCTGTCCATAGCCTCATCCTCCCCTGGTGTGCTTCATAAGGAAACATTTATTGAACACAGTAACACCCTACTTGGGTACCCATTGTCTGTGGCTGATTTCACTCTGAGGTGGAGTTGAGCAGTTGAGAGAACCATTTACCCCCAAGTCTTGCTTTTTTGCCCTTTGAATCACGCATAAAGTGAATCTCTTCCTTCATCTTCATGAGAGTTCTCAGGTTCTCTGAAGTGTTTTTCAAGATAAAGACTCCCAGTATTTCAGCCTTACCTGGCGTGATCCAGTTTGGCATTCACGCACTTGCGCCACCCCCGCCTCCCTGCCCCTTGTCAGTGTGCCCCTCCCAGGGCGAAGCTCCCAGAACCAAAGGCAGACTCCCAAGGGAGGTCCCAGGTACTAGCAGGGAGCAGAGCCACCAGGACCTCTCCATCAGGATCCTAACATGGGACTGAGGGCGGTTTGGGAGCCTGCCACACCCCAGGGTTATGTGCAAACCCTTGCACGTGTGCATTTTTCTTGGGAGATAGTCCGTAAATATCACCCGATTATCTAAAAAAGGTGGGGAAGGGATCCATGACCCCAAAAGGTCAAAAACCACTGGCCAACGTGCTTTACGTAACTACAAAAATGGAGTATTCCCAAGTTAAGAGTTGATCGTATGTTGAAATGATGTTTGATTCTGCCTTGTTTCCTTCCAGTATGAGTATGCTCTGAGACATCTGTACGTGCTGGTCAACCTTTGTGAAAAGCCGTATCCACTGCACAGGTAAATCAGCACATGGCACTTGAAGGTCCTTGTCATTCTGAAAGCAGAAGGGGGCAGCACTGCCGTCCTCTTCTGCAGATGGGCAGTTTTGCTTCTGCAGCGACCACTTCCAGCTTTGTTCTGGAAGCATTTGCTAGGGGAATCCCGACAGCTGCATTCTCAGTGACAGCTGGTGGGTGGGTCTGTGCTAGGTGACCGCCTGCTCCAGGTGGGATTACGTTTGTCTTAATTTCTTTAGAGTTGACATAATTCACCAAATTCTTCTTCTTGTCTCCTACAGGATAAAATCGTCCATGGACAATGTGTGCCTTGGTCACTACTGAAGAGCTGCCTTCTGAGTGCTTTTCCAAGTGTGAACACCTTCCCTCGAATGTGTACTGATCCGAGACTGAAGAGGTGGCAGAGAGGGGAGCCCCCACTGCTCCGGCCCGGGGAAGGCCGCCTGCCGCTCGGGGCTCACTCCGGGCCTTTCTTTTGAGGGTGACTTGTTTGCTTTTGCCCGCTTCCCCAGTCTTCTCGGAAAAAACTACAAGTAGGGGTGGGTAAAGCTGTGTTGAGAGAGAACGGTAATATTTGCTTTTTTAGGAGGTTTTGGCCCATTAGTTTTTAAAAGCAAGAAATTGATGGAGGGTTCTGTAGCCCCTCTCAGAAAGCATCTTTTTTGGGAGAAATTTGAAGCTGAAACCTCTTTAAGTCTTCAGAATAATTTTCTTGAAGAGGGCTATAAGCCCCAAATGGAAAACTATTTTTGATTGCTTTTGTATTTTATTCTGCAATTGTGTTCACGTCTTAAAAAAAATAAAGGTTTGTAACTGAATCTGGGTATTAACTTCTGCCCCTGGCTGCTTGCTGTGTGCTCCCGGATCCTCCTCGACACCTCCCCCCCCCAAGTCCGTGTGTTCCAGCCTCACGCCCTTGGACTTGTTAGCGCCTCTGCCTTTGCTTATCTCCACGCATCCTCAGACGAAACTTACAGGGCCCCGTATTCCCTGAACCTTCCTCAACTTCTCCCTACTCATCCAAAATTGTTTTAATTTAGGATCTTTAAGGTGGAGAACAGCCCTTCAATGACTGGGGGAGACACAAGATGGAAATAAAGAGTCTGTTACTTATAGGTCCTGGGGCGTACACCTGGCGGCCACACATGGAGGTCAGGGAGTGCGTGGACAGAGAGGGAGGGAAGGACCTGAGGGCCATGGCCTTTGCTGGGTACAGGGCATCATTATCCAAACAGGTTTCCCATGGGGAGTTTTAATTGGTGGGTTTGGAGCAAGCAGGCGTGAGTTCTAGGAGGTCACAGTGTGACTGAGAGGTGGTCACTGTAGCGTGTCCGCACAGTCCATGCAGGATGTGAGGGTCAGCAGGGCTGGTCAGCTGTCCCCTAGGTGGTGTCCTGTTCACCAAGAGGAAGTTTTATACAGCAGAGATCAACCACATTAAGGAACTGGGTGAGAGAACCAGAAACTGCCAAGGGTAACTGAACTTGCTTCTGGTCTGGGAAACTCCACTTACTGGATATTCAAAGTAGACGCCAGGGCAACTTGAAATGATAAGATTTCACTACAAAAGGGTACTGTCTCCTCTGTCCATCTGCATTTTTGTTGCATCTCTAACCACACGTGTCAGGGTCTGCCCTTCCACCGGGTCCTGGGATGGGGCGGGGAGGGGAAATCTCACGGGATTTCCCTGGGGGTTCCTCAGGGGCAGAGGCTGCCTGGCTTGTGCTTCCCTGGGCCCTGTGTCACGCAGGGAGGTACTCACCCTGTCTACGGGAGTCCCCCTTACCCATAGGGATACGCTGCAAGAAACCATGGATAGTACCAAACCCTATATAGACCATGCATGAATCTCTTCTTAATAGTTTCATGGGAAGAAGATTCATTCTTACCACAGATCTTAGCAACCTCGGCGTACAACTTTTTCACTCAAATGAAGCGCTCTACAGATTCTCTTTGGTATATCCGAATTGCTGGCATCGCTACCCTTGCCCTCTGGGGCTGTTATTAAGGGTAAACTAAGGGTGACTGGAACACAAACACCTTGCAACCTCGACAGTGGATCTGATCACCGAGACGGCTGCTCTAAGTGACTAACAGGTGGGCAGCGTGGATACGCTAGACAAAAGGATGCTTCACAGCCCAGACAGACAGAGCAGGACAGTGTGAGATTTCGCACAATACTCAGAACAGTGTGCAATGGAAAACTTAGGAATTGTTTATTTATGTAATTTTCCACGTAATATTTTCAGACTGTGGTTGACCCCGGGTAACTGAAACCTCAGAAAGCAAAACCATGAGGGGGGAGGGGAAAAAGAAAGAAGAAAGCAAAACCATGGATAAGAGAGGGCCACTGCTTAACCGTGCAGTGGAATACTGTGTGGCTTATTGCTTTTTACTAAAGGAATGAAGCGCATATTCATGCTACAACGTTCAGCCAATTGAAAGAAGCCAAAAGACCACATATTATATGATTCCAGTTTTATGAAATGTCCAGAATAGACAAATCCATACAGACAGAAAGATTAGTGGTTCCAGGGACTGGAGTCAGGGGGCGGGGGATGAGGAGTGACTGCTAATGGGTATGAGGTTTCTTTCTGGGGTGATGAAAATGTGATAAAACTGTGGTGACGGTCATACAATCTGAATATACTAAAAATGATCAAATTGTACACTTTAAACGGGTGAATTATGTGGTATAAAGCTGCTAAAAAAAAAAAAAAAAGCCATATAGTAAGATGGCTGTTTAGATAAATAGGGAGAAAGCACTGAAAAAAAAAAAAAGTAATGCTAACTAAACCCTGACACTTCCGACCGCCTGTCTTTAGGGTTTCCTATCCTGCTTAGCAGTGGTGACTCCTTTAGCGTTTGGAGTGTGGAATGGAAGCTGAGAAACTGGCAAAGAGAGTCACATCTGTGACAAATTCAGGGGTGACACTTTTGTTTCTAATGGGACTATTTTTTATCAGCACAGATGATCCTTTGTCAGTGAGGTCTTCATGTGGCTAATCAAATGACTTTAGGATAAAGAGCTTTAATGTCCCATAGATTGGGGTGGGGGGGTTTGATGTTTCAGAGAACAAGTAGGAGAAGCACAGCATTAGTTGTGGCTAGTGCCTCACACTAGGCAAACCTGAGGGCAAATTCTGAAAAGCAGAATGTTTAAAGGGAGATTCCTAAAAGGCCTTAAGATACAGGTGGTAAAAAAATCTGTTCCTCTGTTTTCTAGAACTGCAGACTTTTAATATTGTACAATTATGACCTTGCTTCTCTGTTTTTATTTGTCCATTTGTAGAACAAAAGTATATTTAACTATTTAATAAATACAGAAACTTGAATGTTCATGGCCCTAAAGGGTAAAAGCAGCTATGTTTCATTTCTCTAATAAATGAGTTTCACAAGTCACAATGCCTTGGTGTTTTTCCCCTTCATATGGCTCACAGGTACCCAGTAGGAATGGGCTCTCCATCCTTGTATTAGGCCATTTTCTATTAGATTTCTGCCTTGGTCAGCTTGGGCTGCTATAACAGAATACCTCAGACCAGGTGGCTTCTAAACAACAGAAATTTAGTTCTCATAGTTCTGGGGGCTGGGAAGTCCAAAATCAAGGCACCTATCTGTAGGGATTCATGGATATTTATTTTACAGTTGGGTTACGATCCAATATTTTATTTTGTTGCTCAAATTATTCTGGTTTTGGCCACTGGGAGCTCTTTCAGTTGGCTCCCATGTCTATTTGACATTCCCCCTACCCGCATCAATACAGGTGTTTTTGTATTTGAGGACTTCCTTGCTGCCTGTCCCTACAAGATGCTCCAGGTTTAACTTCTCTATTTCCCACCCCAGTCCTAGAAATCAGCTGTTTCTCCAAGAAGCCTGGGTTCCTTTTATTGGAAAATTTGTATTAGAAACCAAGATCTGGGTGCTCGTTGCTCCTGGGCTGTTGCATGTATACACATACCTATAAATATTTCTATATGTAAACATGTGTATCTATATTAAGCTAAACCTAAACTTAGGTTTAGCTTAATAAGCTTAGTCCATACTGCTGTCTCCAACTCTAATCCATCACCACATGGATCATTCTAGCCTTCAGCCCTTTCTCACCTGTAAATTCCCAACCATCAGGGAATAACGTGGCACCCACCACCTGCCATCCATTTAATTAATTGTTTGATTCCAGTATACAGGTACAGCAGTATCAGAATTATTCCCATCAGGAACAACTTGATCAACACGAATACAATATTTCTACGCAGTTCTGTCTGCCTTACTCTCACAGACTCATTTCCCAAATTGCTTAGGGCGGCTTTCCCCCTGCCCCCTTCAGTGAGCTTGTTTCAAACATTCAGAATATAGTTAGATTCTTTTGTAGCAATCTGCACTCCATCTTGGGGTCCCTTAACTTGTTAAGTGACATCTGAAAAATGTCATGCATTAAGGCTCACTCTTTGTGTTATAAATTTTATCTATTTTGGCAGATGCACAATGTCAAATACCCACCATACCGTTTTCATAGTTTCACTGCCCTAAAAATCCTGTGTTTCAACTAATTCGACCTTTGTGTAGACTTAGGTTTTCAATGTGGCTGTGTAAATACCGAGGAGATTGATTATTGGGTCACAGGGTTAGACTGTTTAGCCTGTGAGAAATCGCCAAAGTGTCTTCCGGGGTGGCTGCACCGCTCTGCATTCCCAATAGCAACGAGTGAGAGTTCTACTTCCCTACCTCCTCACTGACTGTCGGTTTTGGAATTTTAGCCATTCTAATAGGTGTGTAGTCGTCTCTTGCTTTAATCTGCAATTCCTTGATGACAAATCATGGGAGCATCTTTTCACACGCTTGCTCGCCATCCATGTATCTTCTCTGGTGAGGTGTCTGTTCAGACCTTTCACCCATTTTTTAATTGGGTTGTTTGTTTTCTTACTGTTGAGGTTTAAGAATTCTTTGTATATTTTGGATACAGGTTCCTTATCAGATATGTGTTTTGCAAATAGAGTCTCTCAGTTTGTTGCTTGTCTATTCGTTTTCTTAACAGTATTTTTGTTTGTTTGTTTGATTGTTTTGTTTTAGAGACAAGGTCTTATTACCCTGTCACCAAGGCTGGAGTGCAGTGGCACAATCATAGCTCACTGTAGCCTCCAACTCCTGGGCTCAAGCCATCCTCCTGCCTTGGCCTCCCAAGTAGCTTGGGACTATAGGCGTGAGACATTGTACCTGATTGGGGGCCATATCTTTCTAGTAGTATATTTTCATTGTCCCCAGGAAAACTAGTCACTCCATTTCCCTTATGAGAAGTCACGAAGTCAGCTGAGGTGGCTTGCAGCCTTTCATGGGAGCTGGGCACCAGGCCGGCCAGGAGGACTGGAAGTGGGGCTAAGTGCTTGCCGTGAGACAGGCAAGGACTTCCCAGAGGTGGGACCCTCTGCCCCCTGCAGTCATTGGGCTCTACCTTGCAGAATATTTGACCCTTACTAGTGATTGGGGCCTTGCCTGACGCCCAGACCTGTGCCCTGCCCCTACTTGGTGTCCTGCACACCCCTCACACTCCACATAAGGCTGATGTCCTCTGTTCCTTCTCAAGCCTGCGTCCCCCTCTACCTAGCTGATGGCACGACCCGCAGCAAGGCGTCCAAGCCAGAAATCTGCAAGTCTTTCTGGGATCCTTCCTCTCCGCCCACACCCTCCAATCGCCCACCACATGCTGCTGAGTTCACAGCCTCGGCGTTTCCCAGGCTTCACTCCACCTCCCACCCCCACACCTTCCCCTGTCCAGACCCCCCTCACCCCCAGATTGCTGCAGCAGGGTTCAGGGGAGCCTCCGCTGCATCCA